TTCATTCATTTCACAAAAGGCTACAAAAAATTTAGGAATACTTTACCGATTGAGATCAAGGTTTCCAAGACATATTTTAATAACACTATATAATTCTATTGTTTTGCCATTTTTCACCTATTGTATTTCTATTTGGGGTTTTACAACAAAATCTAACGTTCGTATGTTGAATCTTTGTCAAAATTATTTTATTCGTATTTTGTTTGGGTTACCAAAATTTGAGCATATCAGTCATTTGTTTATATCATCTGGAATTTTAAAAGTTTACCAGTTACACATTCTTTTCACGTTAATGTTTTTTTATAAATTATTTAAACTAAATTTTTGTCCTTCCTTGTGCCACCAATTAAATCATTTAAACAATAATCGATCAATATTTTTAAGACATAATATAGATTTTTATTTTCCTAAACCTCGTACTAACTTTTTTATTAATTCCGTCTTTCATGTCTCTTGTCGACTTTGGGACTTATTACCAATTCACGTAAAAAATTTGAATACTGCTGGTTTATTTAAAAATTCAGTTTATCAATTAATCTTAACGAATCATTTTTCCTCTTTCATTACCCGTTAATTCCCTGTGTAACTATGCTATTGTTTTCATTTGGTTCCTAAGGTTTTTGTCGATTAATTATTACTATTTTGTTTGGTTCTATTTTTTTTCTTTCTTTTATCACTTATTGTTTATCTTTGTTCGAATTTTATTCCAATTTCTGTTTCGGTGGCCCAACAAGTGCAAACTTCGGGTCTCCTAGTATTATGTATTTAATGATACTTTACTGAATAAAAGATTATTTGAATTGAATTTGAATTGAATATGTATATATAGGAATGAGGTTTTTGTTAATACAAATTTCGTTGAATATGTTTGCCAATTTTGCATTTATTAATTTCTTTGAAATTATAATTATATCTAATTTTTCACAACAGCATGTTACCATATTATATTATAACTTATCAAATTTAATTTAAATTTATCTTTCATTGTTTTATTGAAAAGTTTTACAATTCACTAATTTTAGGCTCTGATGCCACGACTTGACACAAGTTTCTAATAAATATGAATTGCAACAGTAACATCGTGTTGATTCAATTTCAAACATATTCAACGAAATTTATATTTATATATATATTAATCAGTTCCCACGGATTTGTTTGTCATGCCTTTGCGGATGACATCCAGGTGCTGATCACCGGTTCTCCGAGATCATTTGTAGATGAAATAAACAGATTTAATAAATGTATGTCGGACGTTGGCCGTTGGATGTCCGATAATTCATTGAAGTTAAACCAATGTAAGACTCAGTTCCTCCCAGTTGGGACATGGCAGCAGTTATCGAAGATGAATGTCACTTCAATCAAAGTAGGAGATACAAACATATCCTTTAGTACAACAGCTGTCAATTTGGGGATTCTGCTGGATAATGAGCTATCTATGAAAGACCACATCAGGATGATTTCAGTCTCAGCCATTGCTCATCTTAGAAATTTATATCGAGTCAGACATTTGCTGGATAGATCAACTCTGGAGGATCTGGTCCATGCGTTCATAACATCACGACTGGACTACTGCAACAGTTTGTTTTACGGTTTGCCTAATAGATCAATTGACATGCTTCAGTCGGTTCAGAACAGGGTTGCAAAACTTGTAACTGGCAAATTGAAATTTGACCATGTAACTCCAATATTGAATGAGCTTCACTGGTTAAAAATTAAGAAAAGAATAATTTTTAAAATTGCAGTGATTGTGTTTAAATCCTTGAATGGAATGTCACCGGCTTACATCTCGGACAAATTTTCCAGGAAGGCATCTACAACCTGTTTTCATCTAAGATCAGATAATATGAATCTTTTGGCGGTCCCAGCTAGGCATCTACGAATAGGTGCGAGAGATATTGCGGTCGCAGGTCCGACAGTCTGGAATGACCTACCAGTTTCATTAAGAAGATCTGGAATTAACTTTGTGACATTTAAAAGGGAATTAAAAACATACTTATTTTCTGTGGAAAAACAATGAATTTGAATATTTTGATTTATATCAATCATGCACAGTTATTTTGTTATTTTATTTTTGATGGCGCTTTTGAAATTATTAATTTGCGCTATACAAATGTTTCTAAATAAATATAAATATATATATATATATATATATATATATATATATCGTATAACAGTATGATATGTATGAGAATAATTTTTACAAAAATATTTAAAAAATATTTAAAATGTATAAAATATATAAGTTGTATGTATAGTATCTATCTATATAAAATGTATATATGCATGAGTTCAACACGTTTTGTTTACATTTTTCTAAGAGTTTATTATTAAGGATAAAATGGTGCCAAAATTGCCCAGATTAGGAGCAATAAAAATAAGTAAAATATAAAAATTAAAAAATAATAAAAATAAAAGATACATAGAGATGCGATAGGAAAGATCACATAGACACACACACACGCACACAGACAGACAAATATTTACGCATTTTATGTGTTATTTTTAGTCATAATTTATTAAATATCAATAAAAGCTCGATGTATATATATATATATATATACATATATATATATATATATATAACATATAATATATGTATGTATGTATGTATGTATGTATGTATGTATGTATGTATGCATGCATGCATGCATGCATGTATGTATGTATGTATGTATGTATGTATGTATGTATGTATGTATGTATGTATGTATGTATGTATGTATGTTTGTATGTATGTATGTTTGTATGTATGTATGTATGTATGTATGTATGTATGTTTGTATGTGTGTGCATGTGTGTGTGTGTGTGTTTATGAGTGTGTTTGTTTTTATTCACCTTTACAAATCGTGAATGTTTATTTTCCCAAAATGTTCACCGTGTTATAGATTATGAATGTTTTTATTATGTATCCACCTAGTTTAAGTAAGTATGTATGTATGTTTGTAGGTATGTATGTATATATGTATGTATTTAAGCATTTATGTGTGTGTGCTTGTATGTATGCTTTCTAGGGTCGAATCTTTGTATGTATGTACATTTGTATGTGTGTGTATGTATGTATGTACGCAAGCACGTAAGTAGTTTCGGCAGATGTAATAAACAAGTAGATAGTGAGCAAAATAATAAAGTGAATGTTTTTATATTTTTAAGGCAAACTCGAGTGAGAACAAAAAATTGTAAAAAAAAATTTAGTCGATAAAAATGGGAAATAAATATAGAAGCATTGAAAAGCACAGTGGAAAGTGAAGAAAATTTCGCAAGAATAACAAGATTTTTTTCCAGAAAGAATTTTTAACACTTGAGCCGGCAAGGAACAATTGCGAGCAGACAGACTAGTAGTCATTCTGGATGAAAAAAAAACCCATTAAATTTTTTTCTTCGTAATAGCAATTTTTGTGTTTCAAAAGATTGCTAACAAAACGTAAAAAATATGATAAAGTTAAAAAGTGATAATGATAACGACGACGATGATAATGGTGATGATGATGATGATAGTGGGAGTTTGATGATGATGCTGTGATTGTGACGATGATGTAGCTGATTTCACTAAGGTTGATGTTTTTTGTTGCCATTTTAGCACGCACACTTATAAATTATTGCTCTTCCGTTGATTAACCCTTCTTGGATTTATCTTTTTTTTTATTTTTAACGATTATTTTTTTTTCTTAGTTTTTGTTTTTTCTTTGCTTTTATTATTATTGTTCTTTGTTGTCATCATCATCATCATCATCGTCAACAACAACATCGTTATTTTCGTAATCATCATCAAACTCGTCATCGTCATAATCGTTGAATTTGTTGTTTTTTCTGCTGATGTTATTTTCATCGTTGATGTTGTTGTTGTTGATGATGTTGTTGCCGTTGTTGTTAATGATGTTGTTGTTGAAGTTGATGTTGTTGTTGATAATTCTGTTGTGGATGATGTTGTTGTTGTTGTTGATGATGTTGTTGATGATGTTGATGTTGTTGTTGTCGTCGTCGCGCAATTGATTGACGTCTGCAGGAGAGCTAAATATCATTCAGCATGTCTGCCCAAAATAAAATTTAATCATTCATTTAATGTTATTTTTTCAGATTTTAAAAATCACTTCCAATTCAAACGTCAACATGATCAGTATGCTCTCATGATCAACATCACCATCATCGTCACTACCATCATTATCACCATCTTTGTGATCATCATCATCATCGTCATCGTCGTCGTCATCATCGTCATCACCTCCAAGAGCATGTTTCTCCATGAATGGATCAAGATTGGAATCACATCTCTCCACATTAACGGTGCTGACTGCGGGTTTGTCATTATCATAATTTATTCACTAATTATCATAATTAATTAATTAACTAATTAACCAATCAATCAATAATCGATTCATTGTATTAATTAATTCTCATCTAATGTTCTAATTAAAATTGTTTTGTCAATAGGCTAATTCCTTTGACGTTAGACCACATAAAATTATGTCTTTCCTAATTATTTTTAAATTATCACGTTATTACCTCAAGACCAATGATTACGTCATAATTACGTCATAATTACGTCATAATTACGTCATCGTTATTTACGTTTTAATCCAGTGTTTAGCGGCGCCGAATGTGTCCTTCCCACTTGGAGTTTTGCCTATTTTTTAAAAATTTGAAATGTTAATTCATCATCATCGGCTTTACCACATCATCATTATTGGATCATTATAATTATTCTATTTATATCGCCATTATTGTCATTATCATTTTCTCTTTCTTAAGCTTAGTTTATGATGCTAACATTATTTAGGTTTATTAACTTCATCGCCATTCAGTAGCATTGTTATCATCGTAAGTATTCTATACTTCATTCATAATCATCGCTATATCATTATTATATCACCATCATTGTATCATCACCATATCATCACCATCATCATATCATCATTATATTATCACCATATCAACATTATATTATCATTGTATCATCATCATATCATCATTTTATCATCATTGTATCATTATTATATAATCCCAATATCATTGATAGGTCATCACCATATCATCATTATATCATCACCTTTAGATCGTCATCAGCTTGACCCTTAAACACAAAAGATGACGATGATGATGATGGCGCCAGCATGGTATGCTGCTGACGAAAGTGAGTGAGACGATGATTAAGAGGGTGGTGAGTGTTTTCCAGGTTATGATGGTGATCCTGGTTTGTGGTGAATGATGATAGTGATGACGACGAGGCAGCTGTGGTGGTGGTAGATCTTCTGGCGAGTGGCGTGTGGCTGTTTGGACCAACCCGAGTGGAAATCCCAGAAAGTCTATTTATAGAATTCTGCTGTTTGCAGCTTAAGACTCTGAAAAGTGGGAAATTTCATTAGTTTCGTTTTGGCATTAATCACATATAAAAACAAACTAAGGATGTCTTTATGCTTTCATCATCATCATCCTTATAATCATTTTTCGTTATTTCTAACATCTCTATCTTCATTGTAGCATCATCATTTCGTTGTCATTTTTATTCATCTCCACCATCATTATTCTCTCTCACCATGACGTCATCATCACCCCCGTCATCATAATCATCATTTACTGACCTATTCCTCTCAATGTATTGTTGTTTGTTGATCTGATGTTTCCATGGCAGCAGTTTTTTCCTCTGCTCTTCCGAAAAAGATGGATGGATGGAGCAAAGGTTGAGTAGTTCAAGATAGGCAGAACATGAAGCCGAATCATGCTGCTTGCTTGTTAGTAGTTCCGTGCATACTATTTGGTGGTGTGGTATGGTGGTGTGGTGTGGTGGTGTGGTATGATGGTGTGGCGTGGTGGTGTGGTGTGGTGGTGTGATAGTGATCAGGATGATGTCATGGTATGGCTGACGACGCCCTGATGACGTTCATCCCAATTTCACCAAAAAAATTTTCTATTACAATCCAATCATACATTTTCAAAATTTAAAATTCAAAAATATCAAGCTCATAGTATCAACAAAACAGTGAGGCTTTATTGTAACGAGAAAGCAAGGGCTACATAGCTACATATTTTCCTAACCTTTGCCGAGCAGATAAATAATTTTCTCAGTTAGATCAACATTCTGTTGTGCCATCTTTGGAACGTTTGATTCAAAATTCGAAAATTCATTGGCTGCATCTGATTGGCCGTCGACGTTTGTGACGTCATTATGTTTGGCCAATGGGGTTTTGACGATGTGTGTCAGGTCACTGATGATTCTGTGAATATTTTCGGGACTTGTTTTTAGTTCCTGAAATTTTTGAACATTTAACTTTTCAAATTAATAAACAATATTCTAACTGAAACATAAATTAAAGTAATTAATAAAACTTTAAAAAAAGTAAATGGCTAATGTATAAAAAAATTCAAACCCATAGGTATGAACTGCACAAAACATGGAAAAAATATCCTGCAAAGATAATAAAACGGCGTACTTTTTCGTAAATTTCCAAATTCTTTGCTCGATCAGGCAACTTTTTGAGATTGTTCATCAGTTTGTCTCTCGCCCCCTTCGTCACGCCCTGATGATGATGGTGATGGTGATGAAGAAGAAGAAGAAGATGATGATGATAAAAAAGATGATGACGAAGAAGAAGAAGATGATGATGATTACGATGTATTATACCGTCATATAATGGTGATCATTTATTTTTTCAAAAAGAGATCCATTACATTCAAATATTGAGGACAAAGTATCAAATTGTAAGAAAATGTTCATCACCACAGTTACCACCATCCACATCTTCATCACCATCCACATCACCATCACCATCTACGTCAACATCTTACCATCTTCACGAGCCAATCCTCATCAATGTTAAGCAACTGGTGGTAAGTCATGTGCCTGATGAGGTTGGCGTACTTGTGTAGTCTCAGATCTTTTAACCACTTGTAAACCACTACGCAAAAATATTATTTTTTTAATTATTTATTCGTATAATTTTATATAATTATCTAATTAATTTATCAATAAAATATGGTTGCTTAATTTTTAATTAAATTTTATTAGTTTTATGAAAACTTTTGTTGTGAAAAATTTGAACCAACATGTCGACCAATCATATTCGAGGCTGTTGTTTGCCGTAGCTTTTGATTCGTCGTTGCTGTCAGACGAGGCAGCACTGCTACGCCGCGAAACAGTTTGGTGAGCGGAGTTAGTGTTGCAGCTTGTGGTCTCTTCATTTGATTGGCCCTTGTTTAGCCAATCAGGTACGAGAGATTTTGTGCGCGAAAGTTTCTGATGGCCACTCGATTTTGAGGCTGATTTCATGTTTTGATAAAAAAAATTTTAAATATTTTTTCAAAAAGGATTTTAAAAATCTGAAAAAGTTAGAAAAATATTTTTAATTTATTAATTTGAAATACACAAACTACCTCCACTCTCATAGTTAGATAGAGATTGCTGTAGATTGAAATGAACGTTCTTCAATGCTTCTGCTTTGGTAATTTTGCTGGCGATGTTCGGATCATTTTGGTTGCTGTCAGTGCTGATGCTATCATTGCTGTTGTTGTTGTTGCTCTTGCTATTGTCATTTTGGACGCTATTTGCGTTAGTAACAACGTCGTTGTTGTTATCAGATATTTGGTTTGCACTGATTTCATCACCGCTTTTTGAGTTGATGTTATTTTTGTTGATGTCAGTGTTGATGTCATCCGAAATATTGCTGCCTTTGTTAATATTGTCATTTTTGTTGCTGATTTTGTTATTGATGTCAATGTTGATAAGATTGGAGTCACTTGTACTGCATAGTGTGAGTTTTTGATATGGAAGTGAGAGCGAGGCGGATGATTTCAGGGGTCTTTTGGCTTTAGTACAGTTGAGTTGTTGTGGTTGGTGTTGAAGTTGCTGGAAGTTTGGTTGACGTTGCTGATTGGTGATTGAAAGTTGTGATGGTGAAAAATATTGTCTATGGCTAGTAAGTTGTTGGTAGTGCTGCTGAGTTGAAACGTGCTTCGGCATTGGATGTTGGTCAGTTGGGGAATGTTTCATTGTGGGTGATTCTCGAGATATATTTGTTAATTGTTGATGCTGTTGAAGAAGTTGTAGTATTAGCAGCAGCTGCTGCTGTAATTGTTGTTGTTGTTGCTGGTTTAGTTGCTGTTGGTGGTGGGAATTTGCAAGGCTAAAATTGTTGCTGAAACTGTAGGCAACATTCCTCTTTGGTTTTGGAATAAAATTTTGAGTTTTTGAGTTGAATGGGCTCGTGCCAAGTATGATATCCGAGTACGCGTCAATGTTTGCATTGTTAGTGCCATCTAGTTGCAAAACAATGTTTGTGATTTCGTGTTTGTTGACAGCTGGGTGTATGTAGAGATAGGTGAGTAGTTGTTTTGTCTTGTTGTTGTTGTTACTGGTGGCGTCAATTTTTGATGTTGTCGTTGTTGAGTTGCTGAGCAATCTGTGGGATTTTTTCGAGTTTGATGAAAAAAATATGAACGAAATTGGGACCCAACCAAGTACTACATTGTTTTTTATAGACTTTTCATTTTTTTTCATCAAGTACTCACATTAAAATCTACAAAGACATCAACCAAAACATCAACTTAACATCAACAAAGACATCAACCAAAACATCAACTTAACATCAACAAAGACATCAACCAAAACATCAACTTAACATCAACAAAGACATCAACCAAAACATCAACCTAACATCAACAAAGACATCAACCAAAACATCAACCTAACATCAACAAAG